AAGCACATCAAGAACAGGTAAACTGAGTGGCTTCGGCGGCCTAGTCTTGGATAAAAAACTCAAAGGCGTGGCGGAATCTACAGGTTTGAACGCCAGGAATTCCCCATTCAGGATCAACAAGTCTGCAGTGGGACCCACATTCGGCCTCGAAAACAGCTCTTCGTTGACTTTACCCTCGCCGGTCAACTCTCCCGCTTCACTATCCGCAGCAGACACGGAGCTCTCTCTGTCTTTCCCTTCCAAAAGCATCATTGCTAATCCAATGCCAATCAGCTACAGCAGCGAGGCGGCCAATTTCACATACCTCGGTTCTTCGAACGACAAGCCTGTTTCGCAGTGGGCCCCACACGACAGGAAGGAGGAGATGATAATGAAGCTGGTCCCACGAGCGAGGGAGCTGCAGAACCAGCTCCAAGAATGGACCGAGTGGGCGAACCAGAAGGTCATGCAAGCTGCAAGAAGATTAGGTAAGGACAAAGCCGAGCTGAAAACGCTCAGGCAAGAGAAGGAGGAAGTGGAGAGGCTGAAGAAGGAGAAGCAAACGTTGGAGGAGAACACGATGAAGAAGCTTTCGGAGATGGAGAATGCGCTGAGCAAGGCTAGTGGACAGGTGGATCGAGCTAATTCGGCGGTTCGAAGGCTCGAGGTGGAGAATGTGTTTTTGAGAAGGGAAATGGAAGCCGCGAGGTTGCGAGCGGCAGAATCTGCCGCTAGCTATATGGAGGTTTCGAAGAGGGAGAAGAAGACTTTGATAAAGTTTCAGTCTTGGGAGAAGAATAAGACCGTTTTGCAAGAGGATCTTTCGGCTGAGAAATTGAAGTTGATCCAGATGCAGCAGAAGCTGAAGCAGTGTAAAGATATACGGGATCAAGCTGAGGTATAATTATTTAGCGAGTTTATTGTATTTGGTGCTAAAAAAAACTCGGCGTGTTATAAATACTTGCACAAAAAACCCCCTTACGATGCAATTTTTCAGTATACAACCCCGTAAATGGTGCGTTTTTAGGGGTTAATTTAGTTTGCTAAAAAAATTGATTCATAGGGGGGATTTTGCTGATATTTATAACATGGGGAGTTTTTTTGACAATTAGAGTAAACACAGGGTGCTAAATGCAATTAACCCATTATTTAGCTCTTAATCTATAATAGAACTTGACTATTGCATGGAATTTGATGTCCAAAGATATTGTGGTAAGAACTCAATGCTATAGTAATTACATGCTTTTATGTTTTGTCAACCTTTCGAAAATAGGTTTATCAACTATTTATCGAACCTTACGTGGCTGCAAATATCCTTTGCTAGAAAGATAAAGATGGACAGCGCAAAACCGATTCTTTCTGCAGGGCTCTTTTGAGTTAAAAAAAAGACTCGTTTGCTGGCAAGATTGTTACTTTTTTTATTTCCTGATAATAATAACTTGACAGGCGAAACTGAATCAAGAAGTGAAGGCGAAGGAAGAGATCCTCAGACAAGCGAATTCGTATAAAAAAGAACGAGAGCAAATCGAAGCCTCCACAAAATCCAAAGAGAGCGCAATGAAATCTCGAGCCGAAGCGAATCTGCAAAAGTCCAAAGAAGATATAGAGAGGCTCGAGAAGGAGATCTCTCAGCTGAGGCTGAAACCGACTCCTCGAAATAGCCGCCCTCAGAAGGGGCGCAGTGGACATGACCTACGCAGCAACTGGTCGACTTTAGAGATACAATACACACAGCAGCGACGGCACAACAACATATCTGCTTACATCTTCAAGATTGTGGCGGGGTCCACCACCCGCCACGTCAGCGGACGTGAAACGGGAGAGAGAGTGCGTGATGTGCTTGTCCCGAGGAGATGTCCGTGGTATTTCTCCCGTGCGCGCACCAGGTGGTGTGCACTGTGTGCAACGATCCTGCACGAGAAGCAAGGGATGAAGGACTGCCCTTTTCTTGCAGGGGGGCCGATACAGAGACGCGTTTGTGTGCGTTACGCTCACTCGTAAGTTTTTTTTTTTTTTTTTTTCCGGAGATGTTTTTTTATTTATTTTATATAATAATGTTTCTGTGTGTTGGACTGATTTTTCTTTCTTTTTTACAATAAATAGTGGGGGTTTTGATGCTCTCTGTCAAAAATTGGGACTGTGTTTTATATATATATATATATATAAGGTTGCATTTTTTGTAAGTGCAATGTGGAAAAAAGGAAAGGGTTGTGTGGAGTATGGGTTTGTATATGGTGGTTTTCCCATTTTTATTGAATAAATAAAATTGTGTGATTTTCATTGTTATATAATATATATGCATATTTACACGTCTACCCTTATGGTATTTAGATTCCGTAGAATGCTCTTTAGTTTGTACTTGTTTTGTGCAAGAGTACAGTTTCTAATACACCACAATCTGATATTTACAAGCAAGAGACACGTCTTATGATCATCTTGTTTCAAAATGTGAAGCTCGAATGGGGGTAAAATGGGTATAAATTGGAGAATATTCTATATAGCGTAGAAGATTCCACTAAAGTTGACACCGCAAGGATTGATGTGTAAGAAAATTCATAATTGAGGTGGGTGGTTGTAATTACACTAACATCAAGGGAGGTTTTCCCAATTTGACCTTATTTCAGGGTGGTGTTTGTAATGTACCCTAATGCTAATATTATCATGTTCATTTTATTTTACTCAAAACTAGCATTTTTTTCCCATGCGATGCACGAGATCGTATTTTAAAAGTGAAAAAAAATGATCAATTTAACAAATCAAATTTTTTTCTTTATTTCTTAAGATTTGAAATATATTGATGAAAAATAGGAGATTGAAGCCGGAATGATTCTTCATGGTTCAGTGTCAATTTGAATAATTGTTGAAAATATCTTCACGATTCAGTGTCAATTTTGATAATTGTTTAAAATATAGTTAGAGAATTAGTAAAAAATATATTAAAATAAATAATTACAAATTGCCCAATGTTTCTTTCTTTTATATATAAAATAATTGTTGAAAACATAGTTAGAAAATTAGTACAAAAAGATATTTAAAACAAATAATTACAAAAATGCCATTAGAGTTTCTTAGGGTTACCCGGCCCGGCGTTTTTTTCTTTTATATATAAGATATATTACACCGGTCAAGAAATAGATTAAATTAATAAAAAGGACAAACGTCTTTTAAAGATTACAATTAATTTAAAAAAATGTTAAAAATAAATAAAATGGGTCAAATAATTGGAAAAAAATGATCAAAATGAAATAAACGATAAAGACATGTCAAATTGGTCAAAGATTGAGTTAAATCAATCAAAGAAAAATATTAAATTGATCTAAAACAAGTTTAATATGTCAAAAAATATGAAATTGGTCAAACATATAAAAAAAACTATATAAAACATTACAATAATACATATAAATTAATTTTAATAATTTTAATATTTTGTTTTATTCAATAATACATATATAGAGGATACATATTGTGGGAATAGCAAAAATTGGAAGCAAATAAAATAAATAAATAAAAGAAATTGTGTGTGAAAATAAGCTCCACTTTAATAATTGTTCAAGGAAAAAATCAACTTATTTGTGACCAAAGGCAAATACG